AAAAGATACGCGGTGTAAAAGGGTACGCCGTGTAAAAGATACGCGGTGTAAAAGGGTACGCCGTGTAAAAGATACGCGGTGTAAAAGGGTACGCCGTGTAAAAGATACGCGGTGTAAAATATTTTTGTTTCGGAACGTTGCACAGTGGATGTAGGGGCAGGGTAGGAGATCGTTGCAGGGACACTGACGCGGAGGTGTTTTTTTTTTTTTTTTTTTTTTTCTTCAAGTTGATAAAATTCTACATGGTTTTTTTGTTGTCCTCTCCATTTTGTGTTTACCCCACTTTGTGCTTCCCCCTGTTGCATCCCGCGGTTGGTTCCCCTGTGGGCATATAACCCCTAGTCCCTTTGTGTGCCCCCCATGTGCACCACCACCACCCCAACGCAAATGTATACTCATGTTGTATCTCTACAAAATCATTAGAAGGACGTTGCGTATTGTCACTCCCCCCCCCTATCGGAGACCTACCGACCTAGTCTACCCTGTGTTGGTAAATCACCGTCCCGTGTGCCCTTAATATGAGAAGAAAGTTGGTGTGTGCCCTGGCCCCGTTCTTCCTGCGTGACGTTCTCTTTTTCATGCACAACAGAAAAAACCCTTTCGGCTTGTTCAGGATGGAGCCCAAAGCTGTGAGTAGCCACGAGGACCAGATGGAGGTCTTCGTGCGACCGGAGAATGCCAAGTATCAAGGTATAGCTGGTGTAGCAGCGCGGTGGGGGGGGTGCTTTCCCCTGGTGTTCACCCGTATGCAGAGCGTCCCCTCACTAATGACCGCTTGGTATGACCGCTTGGTATGACCGCTTCGCATCACCGCTTCCCACGCAGCGTTCGGACGGCCGAAGAACGACCTGGTGCTCAGAGTCATTGAGAATAAGGAGGAGGGAAGGACGCTGGAGAGGATCCCCGTGTGGTTCATGCGGCAAGCCGGGCGCTACCTTCCCGAGTACCGCGAAATGAGAAGCAAATATGATTTCTTCCAGATGTGCCAGAACCCAGAACTCGCCTCCGAAGTTACCATCATGCCTCTGAAGCGATTTCCATGTGACATGTTAGTAATCTTTTCAGACATCCTAATCATTTTTGTTGCCATGGGGATGAACATAACATTTGTTGAAAATATTGGACCCACATTTGACCAAACTATTAGCTCCTTTAAGCAATTTCAAAAGTTAACTCTCTCACTGGAGCAAGTTATAAAAAATCTCCACTACGTATATGACGCCATCAGTTTAACAAAGGACAAAATTAAAAATGCAGTTCCCATTTTAGGTTTCGCAGGATCACCATTTACTCTCTTTACCTACTTAACGAAAAATAATAAAAAGACATATGAGGATAGCATTAGAATGGTTTATGAAAGTCCAGGAGATGTTAATAAAATTTTGAGCAAGTTAAGTGAAGTGTGTGTAAGTCACCTGATCAATCAGATTGATGCTGGAGCAAATGTGGTGCAGCTATTTGACAGCAATGCAGATGTTGTAGATGCAGAATTATTTGCTCCATTTAGTTTGTTTTATTTAAAAAAAGTTATTAACACGGTGAAGAAATTGAGACCTCATACATTCATTATTTTATTTTTAAAGGAAAACTTTCATCCACATTTGAAACACCTTAACATTGATGTCCTCTCCATCACACATAAACAGCTAGCTATGAATTCCTCTAACTTTTACTACGATTTATTTGAAGGCAAAATTATCTTGCAGGGGGCTCTGGACCCACACATAATGCTCCTCAATGATCACAACCTCGTGGCCAAGTATACGTCAGAGATGGTTCGCCAAATTAGACACACGAATAAGTACATTGCCAACTTGGGCCACGGGATGCTACCCGGTTCAAAAATAGAAAACGTGCAGGCGTTTGTAGACACCGTGGGCGGGTACTTGCCTTCTTAGCTTCTAACGGCCTGCCGCGTTTTTATTTTGTTGCCCCTTTTTTATTTACCCCATTTTATTTGTGCCAATTCAACGTGGCGACTTCGCCCGACGTCTTAAAAAAAAAAAAAAAAAAAAGTCCTGCCTTTTTAGCAGTTACACACTTACGAATGTTTTAAAAAAAAAAAAAAAAAAAAGCAGGAAAAAACGGGCGAAAATGAGCGCGCAAAATTAAGAGAAGCAACGGAGGGGAAAAGGCCTCAAAACTTCTTCTTCTTCGTCATTTTTGGCACCTGCAAGGGAGGGGGAACAGAAAGAGTCGTAATGGAAAAGGGGTTTATAACAGCACGTGAAAAAAGAAAAAGCCGACATACAAGCCGCAATTCGAAACAGAAACTGCGTCTCTCTTTCGACCTGTCCTGTTTTGAGCTGTCCTCTTTCTTCCTGTTGGGGCCTTACCCATAGTATGGATCTGTATTTAGACGCGTTTGTCACATGCTCATTCTCCAGGCGGAAGCAAATCCACTGCAGGTGTGGAGGGGAGTGATGATGGGAAGAGGTCATGTTGGCCTGCGTCTGCAATCGCTTCGTGTCACACATATATACACGCCTGCGCAAGCACGTATGACGCGGCTTCTCAAATATGCCTACTATTGACCGCCTTAGGACTTCAATGAACATCAACACGAAGGTTATTAGGAAAGCGTCTATTTCCTGTGGGGAGGAATGTAAATGCGTTTGAAAGGGATTGCACTTTGTTAGCTGTTTTTTTTTTTTTTTCTTTGCCTCTTTCGCGGCGTTACCTTATTTTGGAAGATGGTAATCGGTATGAGCGTGACGGCCCACGTCAGCCTGAAGACCTGCGCGGAGGGTGGTGAAATAAAAGCAGCGTAGAGTTGGTGAGGCGTTCGACGGGCCACACTCCTCCATCGTGGGTCTGGGTTTTCCCCACGTGATGCCCATTTGCAGACGTCGCTGCGGCCAAGCTAACCAAATTAAGCACTCCGGCAAAGTAGTAGTAGTGCGGGGGGTACATCAAATTGTTGTTCTTCCTGTAGAAAGGGGAAAATGGGAGGAAAATGAAATTGCAAAAATCGCCCATAAACATGTTCAAACCCTCGTTTTGTTCTTCCTCTCTTTCATGAGGCAGGATAAAATTAATCAATCTCATTCCTTCAAGTAGAACTGTTGTGCCTTCATCTCACCTTAACAAATAATTGTATTCCTTCAGGAGCCCCCAATCACAGTACAGGTCCCAGAAATACATGTACGAAGACCCCACGACGTAGGCGCAGATGAGGATAAGTTTGCTCGTGTGCGTCCCCAAACCGAAGTAGGCCCTGTGTGGGGGGGGGGGGGGGGGGGGGGAGTGGTATAAACGGTATGCGGGAAAGCGGTCAGTGTGGACACGTGTGACGTGCGCATGTGAATGAGAGGCGCCCACACACACACATCCCTTACCAGTTAAAGGACGTGCATATGACGATGACAATTCCGGACAAATATTTAAGCATGTTAAAGACGTGAATTTTTTCTCTCTCGTTGTTGTATCTGCGAAAGGGGGGGGGGGAAAATGGACCGACATGGACGGGTGGTCCAATACAACGGACGCTGCAGGGGAGACACGTCGACTTGTTCAGCGCAACAAGTACTTCTCCAACGTTGCGCACCTGATTAAGCATTGGCAGAAACGGAAATAAAAAGGGAGCCCCACGAATATGGGGTTGATGTACCCTTCCAGGACTGCGGGGGGGAGGGGGAGAAGAAGTGGGGGTATACGATCAAATGGTTAGCCAAACAAAGCTAATACGAAACGACGAGGGATGTCTAGCCGTGTTGAGAGCTGCCGCCCCTGTGGAACCTCCACATACTTGGACACTTCGCAGGCGCATTTGTCTTCATCCCGCTTCTGCAAAAGGGGGGCGTAAAAAAAGAACACAAAATGAAGCAAAATGGACGCAAATGGAAGCACAGCAGGGGGGAGGGGAAAAGAGGCTAAGCGCGCTCCACGCCGCTACACCAGTCCGCCCCACTTACAGAAGAAAGCAAACGAAGTACTGGACATCTGAGAAGGTCTTCGAAAGGCTCGTTAGGATGTCCCCAATAATATTGTCTAGCAGGTTGACGCTGTTGACTAGGAAAATACTGTAAGAGAGGGGAAAAAAAAAAAAAAAAAAAAAAAAAGTATGTCCCGTGATGTAGCACACACAGAGAGAGGAGATACACAAGTGCGTGTATTCAATTTTAACAATCTTTTTTACTACTTCCGAGAAGCCTCCAACTTACCCGCTGGACAAAACTCGAACAAGGGAAGAGAAAACAAAGTTGGTCTCCTTGTACTTGTAAAAGTTAATGGGAAAAATAGTCGTACAAAAGAGGAGAATAAAGAGGATGAAGACGTGGAACACAATGTTCGAAAATATATTTAGCTTGAAGAGAACGTCCAGGAGGAACACGAGCAGAGAAAGCGTCGTCAGGAAAAGGAGGAAAATCACGACGTTAATTAGGTAGTAGTACTCGTCCACGATTATCTTGTTCAGATCGAGGATGTACCTGCGTGGGGGGGGGGAAAAAGAGGTGCCACACGTGGACATGCTATGCGTAGGTGCGCCACACGCAGAGGATGTGGCTACGCGTAACGCTGCTATACGTATCGTTGGCTTACGTGAAGTTGACCCCGTACACTTGCATGAACAAGAAGGAGCCGAAAATGAAGAGGAAGAAAAAGTTTAAAACGTATAACAGCCTGTAGATCGGCAGGATTGACAAAATTGTATTCACGTTTATGTTATTCTTGTTCAGGTAAAGTAAAATGATGGTGTTGATGACGAGGATTATAAGAATTCCACAGAGGATGTAGAGGATGCCTCTGTATTGCCAAATGCTCTCGATTTTATTCTTCAAGTAAATTTTAAAATTTAAAAAGTCCAGCTTCTCACAATTGTCTCCTCTTTTCTTCTGAATGGCCAGGTAGGTCGACTTGATTTTATCCTGCGCGGGGGAACAGAAGGAGGCAAATTACACGGGTGAAGTGCATACACACGCATGGTCGCAGATATCACTATATCTCTCTACCACTATACCGCTGTACCACTATACCGCTGTACCACTATACCGCTGTACCACTATACCGCTTCACTAAATATGAAGACGACTCATGTACAACGTAGCCTTCCAGCGCTGTCCAAAAAGGGACCGCGAAAATGGAAAAAAGGCCTCTCCTTACATTGAATTCCTCCTCACGGCTTATCTGGTGCAGCGTGTTGCAGTACTTCTGATACAAGTCGAGGGACGTAGTAAGTTTTTCCTTTTTGTTTTTTTTTTTTAATATTTTATAAACGGAAAGAACGTTAATGTTAAGGTAGTTGTTAAGAATATCAAACATGTTGTAAATGTGTAGACACTTGGTCTTCATCATGTCCATGTCCTTCAAATTAATTTTATCACTCATGAGGAATGTTTTAATCTCGTTCACCTTGTCGTTAAGGTAATTAAACTCCTGTTCGTAGTGTTCCGTAACCATGTTAATATAACTTTGTAGCACCCAAAAAAACAGGTACGTATAATCAATATTTCCACATTCCACGTCCTCATATTTTGCCCCTTTTTTTTCTTTGCTGTTTTCACTTCCGTTATCAGAGGTCAGCAAGTTACACACCTCCAACACTTCCTTGTTGTTTTTTTCAATTCGTTCATACAAACTACATATGTCTGCATTTCGTTTCCTTTTAATTATTTTTTTTAAAAATTTATAATCGATATATTTGTCTTCCCAGGACTTCACCTTCAGATGTTTTAGCTTCTCAGCAAATTTCATTTTGCTTGTCCTCTTTTTTCCAACCCCCTTGGGATAAAAGAGATTTGCGGCGCCACCGTTCCTTTTTTTTTTCCCCTCCTTTCACGTGCTTCCTTTTTTTTGGGCAATTTTTTTTTCCCCCCCCCCCCTGAATTTTCTCTCTCTACACCGCTGCTGAGCTACTTGTCCTCACCACCTTAGGCAACACATGCCACCGCACACGAGCAGTCGGAGGGGGCGGCGGAATAATAAGCCCGGTCGAATTTTTATATCAGAATATTAAATAAAGCTGCGCGGTTGACACTTCAGGCGAAACTGTGACAAAGTTGGTGAGCAGCAACACCCTTCACTCTCTCTACACGTGGCCTCAACAGCGCCACACAAAACGACTTACACGTTTGGAGAGGGCGCCCTGGGCCATGTGCGAAGGAACAAAAAAAAAAAAAAAAAAAAGCATATCATGCGTGTGTTTGTAATGAGGTGGAGGGGTTCATTTTTTTTTCGATTGCTTCCAGCTTGTACGTGGCTTCGAAGATACAAACAGGTGGAAAAGCGATGGTGAGAAATGGGGGACACACCAACGAGCTGTGCTTTGCGATCAAGTTAAAAATAAAAATTAAAAAAAATGTGAGGCGAGAAAAAAAGGCACGTCGAGAAAAAAAAACGGGACGTGAAGAAAAAAAAAAAAAAAAAAAAAAAGGGGCATGCCCGAAGCGCGCCAAACGCAACAGGCACTCACACAACGAACAAATCCCGCAGTGTAAATATAGCCACCGCACTTTCCCCCCACATGACACGAACCCAAATCAAACGCACATTTCATCACATCGCGAAATCTCCAAGGATTCACCGCCGTGGCGCAGGCGTGAGGAAATGTTTACACGGGTGAGGTGACCAGCGTGTTACGACCTCACCAACGCGCCAATCGCAGCGACCGCTTCACCCCCGCCAACCATATCACTGCGGCGAACGATTGAAAAGGGGAGAAAGGGATGCATGTGAAGTTGGGCAAGCTCCTCATTAAAAGTGGCGGCCCGAAATGGGGCCAGAGGATGAGCCCCCTCCCCAGAACAGAGGCTCCGCAAACAGTGCGTAGTCTGTCCAAGGGCCTCCCATCAATAAAGAGCATTCCTGTGAAGGGAGTAAGTACCCTCTTTTTTCTCCACCCAGGGAAGGAGAGAAAAGAGGGGCTTTCCCCCCCAAAATGCAATGGAATAGGCGAGACATGTAGGGGAAAAGGTGTCGTTGGGATTGCGTCCAGGACGATGCATCATCCTATAAGAAGTAACCAATGTAAGGGCAACTCGAACAGGCGAAGAGCGATGATGATATGTCGTTACTACTGTGTAAGTGCTGGTGGTGGGAAGAAATCACAGAAGGGGAAGTTTAAGGTGGATAGAAGGAACCACGTGGACAACCCAGCAAGGTACCCCTCTAATCATATGTGTAACCACCACAGTGCATATTGCTCTATTCCGCTTCCCGACAAGGTAAAGCAGAACCTAACCGCGTATATAACTTTATCGAGGCTGCACATCCCAACAGGTATGCACCTTCTTTTCAACTCAGCCTTGTATGGTTACTTCCTAACCTTGCCAGTAGAAAATTTATTCACCCCAGGAAATGAACTCAATTGGGATTCCTTATACAAAATCGGAAGAGACATCAGCCTCTTTGCCTTTGGAAGTCTCAATAGCCGTATCGTCGGCTGCATAATAAATGACCTGTTTGACAGAAATTACGATAAGCATGTTGAAAGAACAAAAAACAGACCACTAGCAAATAACACAGTGACAATGGCCAGAGCATTTACCTACCTAGCTATTCACTCCGCATTATGTCTGCTAACCCTATTTCAGTTTAGTACGCAAACCATTTACACAGGATTACTCTCTACCGCTTTTATTATTTCATATCCTTTAATGAAGAGAATAACTTACTACGCACAGGTATATTTGTCCATCACCTTTAACCTGGGTTTTTTAATTGCCTCCAGTGTACATGTACAGCTAGCTACAAATGTACTTCCTCTGTGTGTATGTTTTTTACCCTTGTGTTATTTGACCGTAATATATGACACGATATATGCTCATCAGGATAAAAGCGACGATATAAGATTGAATTTGAAGTCACTTGCTATTAAGTGGGGTGATAAAACGTTGTCGTATTCAAAGCTGTTAGCTGTTAACATGGTATATTTGTTTTACTTGTCTGGGTATCTCCTTGATTTGCATTATTCTTACTACTTGTTGTCCACCTGTAATGTGCTTTACTTGCTTCATTGCATTAGTAAGACTTCGCTCGATGATAGGGACAAGTGCATGGCCTTTTTTAAAAACAGCAAGAATATTCTTATGCTCTTTGTGCTCTCTGCGGTCGTTGCCAAGGGGTGTGAGGCCTACCACACGCACAATACGTACCAAACGCAGCAGACGCAGCACACGAAGCAGACACAGCAGACGAAGCAGACGTTGGGGGAAGCAACCAGGAGTGATGCTCCCACAAGCCGCGAAGATAACCACACAGAAGTAAAACAGGAAGGAACCACCTGATGCTGTCCTCGATAGAGTGTATATTCGAATGAGTCTGCCGCGCGCGACGCGAAAGTTGGATACAAAAACAAGGGGCGACGCATGCGACGCAAAAATGGACGCAAAAATGGACGCAAAAATGGACGCAAAAATATACGCTTAAAAAAAGGGCACGTAAAAAAAGGCACTTAAAAATAATCACCAGGGGGTAACCGCCAGGCAAAGCTGGCCGCGCAAACTGAAGACGTAAAAAAAAAAAAAAATAATAAGTGTTCCTCACGAGGAAGGCCAGAAGGGGGGAGCTCAAATTCCGGGGGGGATAAACTTCACGGGCTTGCTGTACCTATCATTGATGTCTGCCAATGAAGAAAAAAAAAAAAAAAGGGAGTTGAGAGGATGAATAACTATAACGGAAAAAGCGCTCAGCAGACATGTATGTGTGTCTGTGTGTGCGGTGTAAGGTTCCCGTTCAGTGGTGCCTCATTTGTGCATCATGCTGCTCACCCAGAGTGTCTATTTTCCCATTCATTAAATTGAGGTTCATGTTGCTGTGGGAGAGGGAACAGGACGCGTGTATTTGTGTGTGTATGCGTGGGTTGCGCAGTGGAGGCGTTGCCTCTCCTCCCGTTGTCATTTTGTGTGTCCCGTTTTTCTATTTTGTCTCTTTTTTTTTTTTTTTTTCTTTCCTTCGTGGCCTACCCGTCCATGCCGTACGTGGGGCCCGGGCCCGGTGTCGTTGAACTCTTCAAGTTTGCCTTCAACTTCGTGAACAAGTCCTTGTTCAGCAGGTTCGTGTCGACACGGAAGTTGGCGCCTGCGGGGGGACGGGACAAAAATAAAATAAATCAGATCAAATAACGACAGAGCAACTTGTCAAGTGCAGAGGTGGCGCGCAGGCTGTGCAGCCGATCGGAAAAGGGCCTTGTCGCGTTCGTCCTACCTGGTACAACGTTGGGGGGTCCGCCCATGTTCAGCTTGGCGGCGTACATGTCCAGGTTGTTGTTGGTTATTTCTTTGTTCAGGCGCAGATTAACTGTGGGGGAAAAAAGGGCAGGAGGGGGGAGCCGATTTGTACCGTTCATGCACACTCAACTGGTAGCCAACCGCGAAACCCTCCTGGGTACTCACCTTCCCGAGATATGCTCAACTCCTTAGCCATCTCGTCGTTGCGGCGCTGCAGGGCGTCGACTTCTCTGCGGAGGGTCTCCTCCGCGGACTCGCGCTGGGCGAGCTTGTCCTGCAGGGCTTTGACCTCGCCCTGAAGCTTGCTGATTTCACTGATGTTTTGCGAGCTGACTTTCTCCACGTTGATGTGTTCAATCGTCTTGCATTTCAATTTGTCCTTCATCTTCCGTAGCTGCGCCTGAAGCTTCGTGATGATGTCATTCCCCTTGTTAATCTCATCAATGGCGATGTTGATTTCCTTCTCGAGTTTGCCATTCCTGTCTTTGTATTTTTTCAGTTCTGTCTCCAGATTGGAGTTGCTAATTTTGATGCTTTCAAAGCTGGAGCTATTGGAGATATTACTTTCACATTCCTTTTCGTACTTGCTTTTGAGATTATTAAACTCAACAGTAAATGTGTTTTTATATTTCTCCAGTTCACATCTAGCACACTCGATGTCTTCCTTCTCCTTTAACAGTTTTACAAAATTGGTGTTTTTTTCTTCCAACTCATTTTTCAAATTTTTTACCTTGCCGTTCAGGTGAAAAATTTTTTGTTCATAATTTTGATTAATTTCATTTAATTGTGTAAATTTATTTTTCAAATTTTCCACATCTTTTTTCAATTCTTCATTTTCGCAGTTGAATTTTTCTTCCTTCTTTTCGATAATCCTTTCGTGTTCTTTTTTCAATTTGTTTATATCATTGTTCAGTGTGTTGTTAAAGTCGCACTTCAAATTCTCCATATTTTTTTCCAAATTTTCAATCGTTTTTTGCATACTTTTAATTTCGACCATGTTCTGACCGTTCTGTACAATTTCTTCATTCAGCCTGGTGATGATTTCCCCATTGTAAGCTTTCACATATTTCATATTGTTGCATAAGTAGCTAATGATATTCTCATGGTCAGCTCGCTTAAGTTGGAGGGATAAATGAGTGAGTTCTTTAAACTGATTTATTTCGACCACATTGAGAATTGCAAATTCTGCATTTTTTTCCTCGTTACCGTTGTTTCCTCTGCAGCCATATGGTCTGCTGTAATTTGAATTATTATTTCCCCCACTGTTGTATCCAGAGTTTATATGATTATTGTAGTAGGGATGGGACCCACCCACCTTCCCTCCTCCTCCACTATCATTCCCACTGATGCCATAATTGTGTGCATCCCGTTCGAGTACTTTACCACCGCTGTCCAGCATAAGAACAGCGCGCAATCTCTGGTCCTCCACTTTTTCACATTGCTCATTTTCGAGCACACACTCTTCGAGCAGGTCGATAAATTTAAAAGGAAATAAATCAAAGTTAATGACCAGAGTTTGTTCCCTTTTTATACTTTCGTAATTCTCTTCATACAAATCTAAATAATAAAAAAACAAGTCATTCGAATCATCAGACAGCTCCAACCTCATGTACTGCTTCCCCCCAATGCTTTTAAGACTGTTAATTTTCACTGTTAATGCTTTTACATAATTATGTTTCGTTTCGCTTTTCATAAGGAACTTAATAGTTTTACAATAGAGCAATCCATTCTGATCATACTTATTGTATATAAAACTCATATCTAAATTTTTTTGCAGCTTGTTTGTGATTGAATTTTTTATCCCCACGTTTGTATTGTTGTTGCGTGTTGTTACGGCGCTGCCCATTTCGAATGTCTTTTCAGGCGCCTTTCTGGACACCCTTTCTGAAGCGTTCGCGCTCTCCTCAGCGATACTTACTTCACTGCAGCTTCGGTGAGCTGTGCAAATTATATTTATTTTGGGGCCTCCCACAGGGTATGCCCCTTGCCCCATCAAGTTTATATGTGGCATGTACATCATGGCCGAGGGATCGTTTGGGCTGTCTGCATAATCGTCATTCCTCTTCTCGCTGCTCACGCCGTAGCTGTGGCAACTGTAATCATTTTCGTTCGCGCGGGAGTCCCCATTCGCACTGTCCCCGTGCGAGACGGAACACTCGCTGAAATTGGGTCCTGAATTCATGTTGGCAGCTTCGCGTCCATCACAACCGTGCCTCTCGCGCGCCGCAGTGAGGACCGAAACATTATATCCTTATCACTGCGAAGTGGGATGATGCACAGGGGAGAGACAGGGAGAGACAGGGACAGACAGACACACAGACAGACGGGGAAGAATTCCGTGTTGGAAAAATCTCGCCACTACTACTTCGCTTCAACACGACGTAAATGCAAGTATGCTGATCATGAGGGCTGTAGAGGAGGGCACAATAACTCCCGTTGCGCTGAACAGAAGGGACTGCTGTTTTTTTTTTTTTTTTTTTCCCTCTGCTGACCTTCGCGAATAGGTACTTTTCAGCACAGCGCTCCGTCTACCGCGTTCACGCACACATGCACATGTACACGCTCAGGTGTATCCTCCTGTGTGGGCGGATGTGTGCCTGCCCGTCTGAGCCGTTTCTCACTTCTGGGGAGTGCGTCCCAGGTGCTTTAAACCGGGGGGCGTACAGTGACCATTCCCTGTTGGGTCAAGTAGACCGTCAGCCTGCTTAATGTTGGCATGCGAGCCAAGTGTGTGTGAAATTGCTTTGCGCGAAAACGCCAGGGGGCGGGGGAGAATAAAATAAAAATGTGCACAGTGGGATAAAACGGAGTAAATGTACAAAAAAAAAAAATAATAATAAATACAAGAGCATTATGTAGTATATACATGCTCATATGTTTTTTTTTTTTTTTTTTTTTTTT